CTCCCACGCACGGAATGCAGGGTACGGTCGAGATTTGTTCGGATAGGATACAAAGAAGATGTACTCCTGATGTCCACGTCAACTAGGTTTGCACACACTTGAGATCTGGGTGTTGTCGCGCTCCAATGATGGTGCCGTGTTGCTAATTCAAGACCTGACTCGCGACCATGACAAGTGATAGTGAAGGGGAGACTTTGGCCAGCTGTCACGAGTAAGCCGGAGTCTTCGAGTGATGGCTTTGGGTAACCCTGCGAAGTGCCACGGGATGCCGATTCAGCCAGAAACAAGCAGCAATCACAACCGCAGTCTCGTTCCGATGGTAATTGACTGCGACATGCCATGACTACGCAAGCAGCCTGCGAACCTTGAGTGTGGCATCACATCGCATCTCGTCCTCCGCACTACAGACAAGATTATGATTGCAGACTTCCGCGTTTGGACTTCTGACAGCTGTCAACCCTGCCAGCATCTCGTTTTCGCAACTCGAAATGCCGGTTGTCGTGTACGGGTCATCCGTGCGGCTTAGACGATTGCGCAAACCGCGATCTGTACAAACACCACCAGAACATGGCTGCTTCCGCAGTCATGTCCTTGCATTCCTCTTGGCCCGTCATGTCTCATTATAATTTGACTCCCATCTCACGACACCCTGGCCTCCTTCTTGTTGCCGTGGGTGGTCTGCAATTTTCACGAGCCTGAGTAAGAGGGCATCAGCACCGACAGAGTGTGCGAGCTGGACGATCCAGCGTTGGTTCGCAATGGCCGGAATCGATTACTTCAGCGCAGGGAGCCAAGTGTTGAAATTGCCGCATCGGGCGATTCGCTTTGCTTCCGGCAACACTTTCAAAGACTTGTTTGTCAGGTTGATTATTCTGCCCGCATGAGGAGATGAACAATACTCCGTAGACCAACGTCATCTGTACAGGCCATCCACATCGTCCCTCCTTTGTCCCAGAGTATTCCTTGCTTCCGCCGTCGCTCCTCATCTACGGGAGTACGAGTTTATCCTGCTTGTGACCGCCTTGATGACATCACTGATCAAGGACACAAGAGTAGAGGGCCTGGTGGCCAAGTCATGTTCCTCGGTATACACACACATCTTGTCGGAAAACAAGGCGGGCAGGGCAAAGCGTGTTTGCATGACTCACTTTGGGCTGAGCGGGCCGTGAGCGCAGAGTTGCTGCCCAAACCGATCGCGGAGTCAAGGCTTCGGGGCTTGGTGATGCCTAGGCAGCCACTTACCGCCGTTTGCAATGGGCTTATCGGTCGTTTCCGGGCACCAGAAAACGACGACTCTTAGCCCCTTCCCGGGGCTTCCCCAGGCCCACCGGTGCACTGTACTGAGTACTGGGGTATGTGACTGAGTTTACCCCCAACTTCGAAAGGGCAACTTCCGATGCAGTTCGCGGGAAGCCATTGAATCAATGTACATGAATCAAATTGTAATATCTTCCAAACCGGCACAATAATAACGAAGGTTTGTCCCTTCAACCATTTATCCGTCCTGGGTACGGAGTAGGAACCGAAGAACACCCAATGATGCCTGCTTCGTCGGGCCTCCCTGATGTCTCGATATTGAGCCCCGCGCTCAAGGGAGAACAACCCCGAAGTTTACGCACTCAGTTCCGTCCGGGTACGAGGTGGTTGCGACCAGTCCGTCGCGCTAGCACATTCAGGCACAATGTACGGAGTACCTTGCCAGCGAAATTTGCCGGTCGCGGTACCGCCACCAGTCTGGCTTTTCTTCGGAAGCCACCACAGTCCAACACGGTCCTCCATACTCCGTCCTGTGTACGCAATCCGGCATCGTTTCTTCTTTCCCAAACTCTGCTGAAGTCGACGGGTCCGGATCACATTTCATACTATCTCTTTCTTTCTCTCCAATGCTCCGCGTGACGGTACATCGCTGATGTCCCACCTCAACCGCCACGATAAAAATTCTAGAAGACTTGATGCATTTCGAAGGTCACTGCAACCATGGGGTATCGGCCCACATGGTCATTGGTGCAGGACGCCTGTGCCACCAGGTCAACGGTACATCGCATCCAGAGCAAAGTGGGTGCAAATGGCTTGTACTAGTACGTCCGTCCGCGGCAGATCTAGGTATTCTATCAAAGTTCCCCTACTCTAGCTTCGAAAAGACCCATAAGCCGGGAAAGCTAGGAGTTTCACTTAAGTGCACCCGCGGTCCACCAGACAGCCCCACGACCCGTCTCCTCGGGACGCCAGTGAACGTCGCCAACGACGTGGTATAGCTCCTTCGGGCCACATCAATTTCGCTCTTCATCCAATGAATGTACGGCCTTCCCAGATGAAAACCCGTAACGACATCGACACGGTGTACGGACTGCAGTGGAGGGTTTCCTGAACCATCTCCCTCGCGAAAAGATTTGCAAGCCGGGCTGGCCGACAATGCTACCGAATTGTTGACCGAATCTGACTTGTCCGACCGAAGGCATCATTCTCCGAAGGTGGCACACGGTGAGTTGGTGGGTTGCGAGCGCTCGTCTACGGTCGAGCATCACCAACTTCAAAGGCCTGGGTGTTTAGCCTCAGTCATCCCGAGACAGCTAAACAAGGTTGTCCGCGACCCAGCCAAGAGCCCTCTACCTAAAGCCGATGTGCCCGACGAATTCAAAACCACTTGCAGCACAGGCCGTTGAACCACGCTGATGTGATCACCAAGGCTTCCAAAGAAGCAGAGAGTTTCAGACAGTAGGGTTACCACGAAGGACGATTCGTTGCCCGATGCGCTATTCACCTCTCACATGCGCCGAGGTAGTAAGCCGACGCCGAAGCGAGAGCCCAAGGAGGCACTTGATCTGGTCCTCGTGGCCCAGACAATTCGTGCCGCGGCACTAGGCCGCAATCACTTTCGAGGATAGGCTCGCCTTGCGCAACCTTGCGCTGAAGATAGTATTCTCCGGCGCATTACACACATGACACGCATCCAGTATGTTTGTCACATATGCAGGGTCCAGCATCTCAGCACTTGTCCAACAACAACTGAACAATCAGCCCTGCGCTGGGCGACACAGCAGCTGATCCTAGGTCCAGCTGAGCCTCGTTTGTATGCGAGTCTTTCGCATGACATGGCACGGCGTGGTCTTACAATGTATGGACAACTGTCGTTTTCGGCGTTCGCCCGCGCCATGATTCGGGCCCCGTCCACCTCGTCGCTGTTAGGAGGAGCAGGCTGATGTCCGGATCCGAACGGCCATTCTCCGCACACTTAAAAGGGTTTCTTTCCGACCCTGTGTTGCGAAGCCTCGTGTTCCATTTCCATGCGAAGGGAGCTAAATCTTCTATCCGCGCGCTTGTGCTTCAGCACTCCGGAATATTCTCTTTAATTGTGGGGAGGCCGTGCCAGATCCCTAAAACAGAATTACCCTGTTACCGGCCCCTCCAGAGAGAAAGCGTGGCCATCAAACCAGCCTGAGTTGCTCTCAATGTTCCGATGCTTCCCCACAGACGCATCAAACAAGCAAGGCCGCAAGCTGGGAATCATAATCCGGTCTCGACGGTTTTCTAATCTCGTCCACTCGTCGGTGAAGAATATCGCGTCCGCGAATCGCCTTTCTTATTCGGGAAACAGCGGCCCCAAACTCCCCTGCCGGGGTCGATGAGTAGGGCAAAGGTCGCTCTGAACACGGCAGCCCCACGATCGTCGCTGATGGCCAAAACCTCTCACAGCCCAGCTGAGGATAGACGCCCACAAGCCCACACGCCCCAAAATTCCAGACTATCGCCCTGGTGATGATTTGGAGGTTGTCTGGGATCCACCGAGCAGGCTGAGATGGTAGTTTCTCCAACCAAGCCCCCGCTCTGGGAATAGAAAAAAAGGTCTGCGAGAGTCTTGGAGGTTAGATCAGCAGGCTCGGGGTAAACGGGACCTAGGTGAATGGTAAGCTATGCATCTGGCTTCGGCACAAGTCTTTGTTGATTGTCGCTCCACTCAAGAGATACGCTCGTGACAACAATGCAGAGAGGTCTGGGCCTCTACAAGACTTCACAGTACGACCCACTCCTGAATCCAGGCTTTGTCAATTGAGGTCCAGGCTGTCCCCTAGAACCATGGGGAGGTGATAGATGGTGGTCCCGATCCCTCTGTAGACCTCCTTTGTTTGTTGCACGGTTCTAGACTTAGGAACAGCAATTGCAAAGACCGCAAGGTCATCTCTGCCTAGGCTCTTCCAAAGTCGACATGGGCAGCAGATCCGGATTTGCACAGTGGAATGTGCGAGGTCCTGGCGGGAATGCACAATTTGCCCGCCGGCTCGAGTGCTCGATGTTTGACTTGTTCCCACATTCCGCGGCACGCTTTCTTGCAGTGCCTTGTCGAGGTTCACGCTGCACTTGACATCCCGCGAAGACCTTGTTGCTAGTAGCGATAAGAGTAAGTCATCGAGATTTCGACGCCGAAGGTCAGGAGCATAAGATCCCCAGCTCGTCGTTCCCGGCCAGGACCAATGTCATGAAAGGTCGGAATAATTCAGGGACCCGTGGTTGCCCTTGACATGACGCACGCGACAGCCATCACGCATTGTTCAGCACTCTGCCATTTGTCTGGACATGGGCGCTCAGTCTCAACGGTAGGCTAGGGGATGCCATCGGTAGTGCTTCATCTCACCTTAAAAGATCTACGATCGTTTCTGTTCTGTCTCGTTGATCAATGGATTCTATCAGGAGCCGGAGCCAGCTTACCCGTTCCCTGCTGTCTACGCTGCGACAGAGGAGGCCCGGACGACGTTGACTAGCTGGAAGTCGTGCCAAGCACGTATTGGTGTCTGGTGATCCCGTTAAACAGTCGAGACCAAAATGTGATCCGCGATGGCTTTGGGCTCTTCAGGCCAGTAATTCAAGGTCCAGACACTTGGGGAGCCAGCTGAATGGCGTTGAACGCCTACCTGGCTACCCGTCGACTATGACGAGAACCAAAGTAGAATGGAAGTGTACATCGTACATGCCAGGAGTCGTTGCTGGTCGGATTGCCCGCGGGTTCACGTGGGCGCTCGATTTGGTGGGCCAGCATGAGCGACCAGCAATGACTGTACAACTTCCAGTGCACTGAGGGATTGGCCCAGCCCCGACGTCCCATCCCACCCATCAAGATACCACCTTACACCGCAGGTGGTCCCGTTCTCCCCTCCTGTACAGACTCCCGCGGCAGCAAGCGCGGATGCCCGAAGCACGGGAAGGACGTGCTCTGCCGTCTGCGGCATCATGATGGTAGTCTTCGCTAACCAGCGAGCCAGATACGCCCTGAAGCTGTACTGGTCGATGTTGCAATCCCAGCTAAGCTCGCAATACTCATACAGGACATCAGTGGCGTTGGGGAAAGGTGACGCAAACGTCTGCAGCGCGGAATTTAAAAGCTCGGTTGTCCGGTTCGCCCATAGGTCAGAGCCATTCGTATAATTGTAGAGAACAGCTGTTCCGTAGAGGTAGACGGCTACGTTGTAGCTCCAGAGCGTATGGTCAATACCCGTGCAGTTGATCTTGTCATCCGAACCGTCGAAGACATTGTACGCGGGATCAATGAGACCGATGGTGACGGACCAGTCCCAAATTCTCTCCGCCCAGTCGTGGTAGGTCTGGTTATTCGTGAAGCGCGCCAAGCGAGCCGCGAGCTGGAGAAATCCCCCATTGGAAATCGAATTCTTGTAGTCGTATCCAGCGCTTGTAGGAAATACTTGCCACTTCAAGCCGCCACCACAGGTGTCGCTTGCGTCTATCCATCGGCTGACGTAGTCGTTGAAGATGTTGTCACAGATCTCGAGCCACGTGGGGAACGGGGGCGGAGGCTCTCGGAGTCCATACTCGGCAGAAGTCAGCGCGGCGAAAGCCCACAAGGCGATATCGTCGTTGCCCTGGGGCTGCAAGTTAGCCATACAAGGAAGGGGTTGAGCGGTCGACTCTCAAATCTTGCCTCACCTCATCCAGCTTCTCAGCCTCGGGTAGATAGTTGTGGGTGTCTGATATCTGAGAGACCAATGCGTCGTAGGTGACATTGTAATAGCTCGCGTCGCCGGTGTAAAGGTAGTAGTCCACCATTCCACCCCATGCGGCGCCACTGAGCCACCAGTAGTATGGCGGATATGGAAACTTGCCCAGGACGCCTCCGGTCCGATTGCCATTGTACATGGACTGGAGGTCATAAGCTATGGTGGAAGCTGCACCGCGAATGGAGTCTGTGATGGTCGTATCTCTGGGTAAGTCTCATCAATAAGGTAATGCAGAGGGCTGCATACCTGGGTTGTCGACCCGTAGATCCACAGCCGACGTGCACTTGCTGAGCCACAAGATCATCCCAATAAACATGATACAGGGACATGTCCATGGTGGCGCCATTTTTGGAGCGAATAATGCACTTTATCATCTCGGGGAATAGCGAAGACAAGTGGTTAGAAGTTCAAAGTCGGCGAGGCCAAGCCGCAGGACCGTCATCATCGCTCAATTCAAGAGCTATTGCGTTTCCTGTCGAAAACCCTGAGAATACCAGAGAGATTGGAGCCTGGATTCTGACTACGTTCGATGTACGCCTTTGCTATTAGCTCCTGCTAAAGCGAAAGCCACTTTGACGGAGGCAATGATGGAAAATTGAGACGTACACAGCACAGCGATAATACGTATCGAGCTAGGCTGCTTCCGGCATCGTTTACAAACTGCTCGCTGCTCAGTGCGAAAGTTCGATCACGCCGCTTTTAAACCGCTCACTTCCACCTCACGTCCACCTTCGACTCACCCTTCATTCATCGTCAAGGTACCTAGCTTAGCCCTTTGGTGGTCTTATTTCTCCGGCAGGATCTTCTACATCCTCACTCATCTAGAATCTAACATCGATGGCGGCGGACGGTGCGGACTATTTCCACGTCGTTTTGCCGTCTCTTTCACTCGCTTCTTGTGGAATCCGTTCCTGTCTCTCACATACTCGAACAATATTCAGGGCGGCGACACCCTACTCCTGAAGCGTACAGAACCTTGGCAAGTTGCATGGCTTGACCTCAGAGCCTCATCAGCAGTGCACGGTTGGGACCCGCTGGATTGTACCACGCAGGCACACGTACCATTTTCACACAAACCGCAAGAATGGATACACGAGGCTTGACGCTGCGGAAGAAGCGCAAAGACCGGCCGATCATTAGCGCCCCTCAAAATGCCACGGGGCCTGGCATCAGCGGCGGGCGAGCAGGACTCCCATCGCAGAACAAGGCAGCCAACGCTCTGAGTGTACCACGCGATCGGAATGCACCAACCGAGACTTCAGACCTTGTCAAGAGGCGCTACTCAACGCGATATAACCAGCTGCCCGACTTCAGCAACATCGGGGCACCACCCGTTCCTGCGCTTCCCGGAGCCGGTACTCTCAAACGTCGCTCAGGAGGTGGCTCACCACGCCGGCCTCTGACCGGTGACCGCTCACGTCCGCTCCATATCGACAGCGATGCCCTCAAAGATCCCAACCTCCAGCATGAGCGATACGTTGCTGACCTCCTTGCCAATGCATCCGAACAAGATATTCAAGACTATCAGAATGGCCTGCAAAGGTTGAAGAATCGTAACTCCCAAGAGCTGCAGCAGAACGTGTACCAGAACAGAACGCAGTTTATAAAGATTAGCAAAGAGGCCGAGAAGTTGAAGTCCGAGATGGGCATATTACAAAACCTCATGTCCGAGCTGACCGGGACACTGGGCACGGGAGAGGCAGGCACGAGCAGCCCCAAGTCGCCTGAACTGAATGGCCCTTCTCTTTCCAGGCGCAATACCAACAGGACTTCGGTCGCAAACCTGGAGCATATGTGGAACGTCCAGCTACAAGCCCTGTGGAAAAACATTGAGAAGTCTCAGAAATTCCTGCCAGCCGCTCCTGGGCGACACATTGTGGCCGAGACAGGCAACTGGATAGAACTCGACTCGGCTACTTGGAAGCCTAAGCGACCTGTTCACATTGTGCTGTTGAATGACCACCTTCTCGTAGCGTCTAAGAAGCGCAAGCGAGTCGATCCAAATGCGCCCCAACAAGGACCTGCTCCTACGAAACTCGTGGCAGAAGAATGCTGGCCTTTACAAGATATCGAAATCATCGACATGGCTGCAAGTGTCGCCAATGGAGGCGGGAACACGCCAGCCGAGGAGAAGGCCATCGCTTCGGCCCTGACCATCAGCTCTGGCGGCCGCTCGCTGATCTACCGCCACGAGAAGCGGGATGAAAGGGCCAAGGCTGCTCTGTTATCTGCTCTTCGAAAAGCGACAGAAGACCTTCGCAAAGCCACCAAAACCGAGGAAGAGCAAACCAAGCCCAAGTCCGAGAGCCTGAATTACTTCGCAGCACGAGACCCCGCATCGGCGAAGAACTCGGAGATTCTCGAAGGCATTAACGCTTCCAAGGAGAAACCGGAAATTCTGGTCGAAGTCGACGGCCGTCAGCATAACTTCCGCTGGGTCGAGGGACAAATCGACGATCTGGACATTGAAATCTCGATGCAACGCTTTGACGAGGCCGTTGAGAAGGTAGAAAAGCTACGCAAGATCGCCAACAGCTTGAAGGGCAACTCGATCGCCCAAGAGCTAGTGAGCGTCAAGGTTGACGAGCGCGCTGCGAAACTCGCTGGCATCCTCTGTCGAGAGCTGGTCGAGACCCCTTCCTTTATGGAGGCCACGAAACGCAAAGTCTCCTATCTGATCCGTCTTGGATTCGAAGACCGCGCGAGGGATGCCTACCTCAATGCACGAAGTGAGATGCTCGCCAAACGCGCGAGACAATGCGTCTTTGAAGGCGACCTCCATCGCTACGTCTTCTCCATCTCATACGTCTACTTTACCGTGGTGAAAAACACGGTGCTTATCTACCAAGCCGCGTTCACGACTCCGGGGGTGATTAGTGCGTGCATAAAGTGGGCCGGTATGCACCTAGAGACCTTCAATACCTTACTGGTGAGGCAGCTGAGTGCAATTGAGCGTGAAGGCAAATTGTGGAGGGAGTGCATGGATGTTGTCTGGGAGCATGAACGGACGATGCTGGGGGAATTTGGGTTGGATTTCAGAGAGGTCATCGGCAGGGGACTAGAGGTCCGAGAAATCGCTGGGAGGAGCGAGCAGGTCGGTGCAGCCGGAGGTAATAGGGAGCAAAGTCGATCAAAGTCGCGGACACGAGCTGGTACGTGACCGACAAGCGGTCGAGCACTGACACTGCGTGGCTGGTCTGAGTGGAGATCAAACATGTATTGGGTCTCTTATAAACTACACAAGGTATATGCAAATGTTCAAAATTGAACGCCGCACGCTTCCCGCTCATGCTCAGAAGACAGTTTCTCTTTTCACATTTGCACATGCTGGGCCTCCTGGGAGCTTGGTTGATGTCCTGAAGAAGTGCCGGTTTGGTGGTACATGGTGTACATCGCAACCTGGGCATGGCGACTCATGGTAATATGGCGCCGAGACTCTGCATCTGTCGCGGGGGGTCGATTACTCTTTGATCTTCGCAAGCAACCTATTGCTCCATTAGCACCCGAAACCGGGTCGACGCACGATTCCATCCGAACTCACTCGTGATCTCTGAAAAGATGATATTCCTCCTCCCCAACTTTGACTGGGCTACCGCCATACTGGGGGATCAACACCTTGTCGCCCTCCTGCACGCTCATGGCCATTCTCTTCCCCTCCTTGTCGAAACCTCCGGGACCAACGGCCAGGACCTTCGCCTCGTTGAGTTCCTTGACGGATGATTCGGGGAGGAAGATACCGCCCGCAGTGCGCGCCTCGGCTTTGACGCGCTGCACGAGGACGCGGTCGAGGAGAGGGACTAGGGAGCGGATGGACTTGAGAGCGGTGGTCTGCACCCGTTCGTTAGTACTCCATCGATTGGTCTGGTCAAGCTTCGAGCATTGCGACTACACGGTGCTGGGGACGGGGAAGGCGCTCGAGCGTGTGCCGACGTACCATCTTGACGGTGTGCTTGGTATTATGCCAAAGGAAATTTCGTCGGACAGTACTTGTAGTAAGGGCAACGAGAAGAGGGCGTGGAAGAGTGGTAAACAGATGGAGCACGACGGGCAGGACGGGTCACTTTTTTCTCGAAGCATCCGCCCGTCTCGCCAAACCTGCTCCATGCGGACTCCGCTAATGATTGGACAGGAGCAGCCACAGACTCCAGCATACCAACGACACCCCCTCTGTGCCCTCGCTCACTTCTTGCTCACTGCGCATACCCTTGGAAGCTTGATCAAGATGATGGACTCGGACGAGGACGATATCTACCCGGAGAACGATGACGTCTATGGTACCAAACAGCAGGGTGAGGTCACCATGGGGGACGCCGACGAAGGCGAAGAGGAAGGTGAAGAAGTAGAGGAGGAAGACGATGTATGAACCCACAAACGGAGAGCCAGCTTGATGATCGCCCACTGACTGCTCTCCCCAGGACGACGTCGACTTCATCATCGACGCCAAAGACGAACCCAAACCCTCGCCCGAAACCAATTCAACATCACAACCCAAACGTCCATCAGGGTCTTCCCAAACCCCAGCGTCAGACCTACGCAAGGCCTCAATAACACCCTCCCCTGCCGTAAAGCGAGAAACACCCCTAGACTCCCGCCTCGACTCCCAGCCTCCGAACGACCGCCCCGGCACAGACTATCCCGCCCGGCATACCTCCAAGATCGACCCGAATGGCAACCCTGTGCACCCGACAACCGGCAAACCGATCTTATCCACCGACTTCGACGTCGACTTCCCCTCGGAATCATCAAAACCCTGGCGCAAACCTGGCGCGGATATCACGGACTACTTCAACTACGGCTTCGACGAGTTCACCTGGGCAAGTTATTGCCTAAAACAACAGCAAATGCCAAAGGAGGTCAAAGAAATCACACAACATGCAGAACAAATGAAGGCGTTTGTGGAAGGCATTCCTGGCGGAGGAGCTATGCCGGGCATGCCGCCGATGCCAGGTGCCCCCGGTGCAGGTCCCGGAGACATGGGCGGTGCAATGCCAGGGATGCCCAGTGAAGCTCAGATGCAGCAGATGTTTGCCGCCATGGCCTCACAAGGCCTGGACCCTGGGAGCATGGATCCTAGTCAGTTTATGCAGTTCATGGCTGGGCCTGGGGCCGCCATGATGGGTGCGCCACAGCCTCCTACGGGACCTGCCGCAGGCTTTGCTGGACCCGGCGGCGGAGGCGGGAGTGGGTTCGATCAGGGTGGTGGTCCGGGCGGTGGAGGCGGCTTTGGCGGCAGAGGGCGAGGAAAGGGTGGAAGGAGGAATTGGTAGAAACAATTTCGTCACCCAGATTCACCTGAGGTGTCCTGACGTTGTGGGCCCATCATGCCTGCCTGTGAAATGCCAGCGCATTCGCGGGAACAGAAATGAGATACGGGGGCAGGCAGTGCATTGCATTGCACCATCTCATTCGAGGAAACGTCGATGTCGTGCTTCGGCCGTGGAGAGGCAAATGTTGCCGGGTTGAACCAAGCTATGAGCATGACACTGAGAACATGACGAAATGGCACAAACGATGAGATGAAAGCATGAGCAAGGTCTGACTCAGACCGCGATCAAGCACAGGGTGACCACACCGAGACCGCGCGCCGGAGCACGCCGCCGGAGTATCTCCTTCGAACGTATCGTCGTTTTCCAGAACCTCGTTTTCGCATACAGGCGACAGCTTCGATCGCGCTCATAGGAACCGCATCAGAACGAGCACCTTCTTGGGACAATAAGATGGAAAAAATCATCCTCGCCGCCTAAATATCCGAAGACCGTCCACCTAGAACGACCGTTGCGGATTTGGCTCAACGGACGTAATTGAGGAACCCAGATTCTGCCACGCTGGCATATGTATCGCTGTTGTATTTTTCCGCCTGTCCGCGCTTTGGGATTTCGAAAAGCCTAGACCTGCTCGGTCGAGCGGTCGTATTTGTATCAGCATGATTCAACATGGCCGGGGGACGTACGGTGTGCTACAGTAAGACCCCAAGCCTCACACTCATAGCGGTTGTGTACCACAGAACAGTACATAGTGACAGGACGGTTCACGCTAGCAGAAGCCTCCTGTGTATGTACTGGTGTACTGTATCCATGTATTTATGTATTCGGCAAGAGAGCGAATCCAGGACGTCGCCAAATACAGCATTAGCATAGGTACCAGGTAGGTACTCAACTTGGTAATCTACGCCAGAGCCAGCCCGGTACGGGTGCGTTGGGACCCGACCAGACAAACAAACGACCATGTCTAACGCCATGAATGGTAGAAGTGAGCATTATTTGATCCAGTATGATGGTCCAGGGCGCCAGTGTCTGAAACGAGACTGCCAGACTGCCAGACTGTCAGACTGCCGGGAGAGACAAGATACGCGAACGGAGAATCAATAGAGTCTGTCATGGTCTGCAACCCGAACTTGGAAAACAAAGATGGGAGATCGTGGGAAGTTACCAAAGCTATCTCAAGCCAAAGAATAGGTAATGGCAGTCCCTTGATGTCTATCTTGGGTGAGGAGATTCGAGCCACTCGCCGTCTGCTGGTGGCGGTTGAGGATGTCAAGCAGGAAAGTGCAACTTCATAACTGTGAAGAACGTCGTGAATTCTGTCTTGTGAGTTTCTGTCCTCGGATAACACAAGCAAGTTATCATGTGCTCGCTATGTGCTAAGACCGTGAAGAGTATCCGATTTCCTCCTTCTCTGGCTCCTAGCCAGAGAGTCCCCAGCGAGATTTGGTGTCACTCACATATAAGTTGCTGCACAGGGCCCATCAACGCCTGTCATATCTAGACTACGGTGTGCTGGGTTGGTGAACCTATCCAAGTAAGATCAGCATTCGATGCGGACGGAGGCTAACAGTCTTACCAGCACGACGATCCTGATTTTGATTTCCGTCAAGAGATAGAGCAGTTCCCGCCCTGCCGAAGTTCGTTCCGAACCTCATTCCACTACAGTTCTGCGCAGAACCAGGCATCTTACTTGCTTGGTTTTCTTCGCGACGAGATGAACCTGCTAGTGTTTGACTGGCAGGAAATTCAGTGCGAGAAGCTGAGGTCGGGATTTGCGAACGGTCGAGGTCAAGACGAGTGATAGCTGGTAAGGTTGCTCTGTGCAAAGTTGTGCCCAAGGTGATCCAGTTTGCTTGACGTGTCAGCAACTGCCGTTGGGGTTGTGGAGTACATACGAGTCCTCGAGGCCCGCGGTCCTCCTGGTGGTGGCATCTTCATGCGGTCGCCCTGACTGCCGGCGACACTGGCCCCGGAGCGTTGATGAGGATGCAGGCGCTCGAGCTCTGCTGGCATTGTCCTAGTGTGTGGAACTACTCTTTCTGCCGTGTCGCCATGTTCAGATGCACGGAAGCCTTGCCTTGACTCCCGGCCATGCTGCACCTTGTCAAGGGACGGTATGACACGGATGGAATCAAGTGTGGGGTCAACGTCATTGTTGGCAACTGCTCCCATCCTTTCCAACAGAACCTTTTGCTTGATAGCGTCGTAAAGCCTCTGGGTCTGTTGTTGTTTCTTGCACTTTTCCTGAAACTGACGGTTGAGGTCGGCATATTTCTGGTCCATTGATTGCCGATCACTGATGAGGTCTGTAGAGATGTCAGCAACAGTCCGGTCTGTCAGGGTAGGGATTGTGCGCACCTTGAACCTGAGCCTCCAACGCTTGGATACGAAGATTGGCATCGTGGGCAATCTTGTCAGCCTCGCTCCTGAGCTGTTGACATTTTTGCATCTGCCGTTTCGCAATGCACTGTTGATAGGCGCTGTCGGGGGTCAGAGGGAACTCCCAGACCGAGAAGACGGGCATAGCCTCACTGCTCCTGAGCGTTTTGGTATGTCCAGAAAGTCAATGCTTTCTGAGCACACTCGATGATGGTAGCGGGATCAAGACCAGCAAGGACACTCGCCTTGTAGTCGTCCGGCGGCCTCAAAAGGTTACGCACAACGTCATGAGAATGGCGAAGATCAGCTTCGCAATTGGGACACTGACGCTGTTCTTGTGGTGTTCCCGTCAGCCCAGTTTTGTCGGCGCAGTCGGTGCAGAAGACGTGTCTAGCTGTTGTCAGATAGAGGCCAGTAAGACACGGCAGGGAACTTGCGCGCAAGTGGTGACAATGGCATCATGTCGGAGCACGGCTCGACAGAGCCCGCCGTTGACCTGATGGTTGCATGTCAGACTTAGGTCCATCATTTACGGGCTGGCGAGCTTCGGTGCGCTGGACGATAGAGGAAGAGAGTGCAGAGAGCTGGCGAACGGAAGAATGAGGTGAGGGAAAAGTGAAAGTGGCAGCCACTGCCTCGTTGACTTTGGGCGTCGCTACTCGTTTCGACGGATCCTGCCCATGCTTCAGTCAATGCTTCAGCCAATGCTTCAGGCATCGCACGCGATTCCATGTCCATCCCGCTTAGCCAAAGAAAAGGGCGTTCCCCTGAGCATCTCTCCGTCTGCTCTTCGCGATCTCTTCAAACTCCTTCCCGGCCTTATATTCCTTCCACACACTGGCCGGATAGATGTGCTTGTTCCTTTCATACCACCTTCTATCCACCACCTTTGTGAGGATGGGATCGTCATTATGGCCCTCCAGCTCCTCTTTCCTCTGACCTGGAACCCTCAGCGTAGCCGTCGGTTCCGACGCGCTGTGATCAGAGCTGTTCATGATGTCCGCCGTGCCAGAGTATTCGAATAACAATCTCCCCTCCCGACTCGGATCAGGAATCTTATTCGCAATGAAATAGTAGAACTCGTAGTGGTGCGGCACAATGACTTCGCCTTTCACCAGCATCAAGTCATCAACGCCCACGCGCGCCCACTGCTTCCTCGAGTCTTCCCTGCTCTTTTTCTGGACGGTCGAGCCACTTCCATCCGCCCCAGAGACCCCAAGTTCGGCACCGACCTTTCTGCATCGTTCCAGGAACAGCCAGACGTGGTCTCCTTTCTTGACTCTGACGCTCCCGCCAGGGATGTTGGCCCCTGCATCGTAGAACACAAAGGGTATCTCAATCTCGGTCTCCTTCACCCGTTCTTGTATCTCCAGAAATTCCTTGCGTAGCTTCTCCCGGTCGAGCGCCTCAGCTGCCAGTGCTGCTTTCGTCAGGGCTCGAGGTACAGGCAGGGTCGATTTCGGATTCGGCGTCAAATTCTTCCTCCTGATCTCTCCGGGAGGATCAGGCGAGGCTTCGGCAGATGTCCTCGAGCTTCGCACAGCAGTTCCCCCATCACTCTCGTCATCGTCGCCTCCGAAAGATAGCAACCCCTTGCCAGCGACCTTATTTTTAAATAACTTCTTCTTCTTCTTCGTCGGTCGTCCGCCCTGCTCCGTTCGACCCGTCACCGCGCTGTGCTTTGTAAATTAGCCCCGCCCTCCGCAGTCTGCGCCTTCACCCGAACTTATGGCTCACCCGTCACTGTCCGGGGTTCTTGCGCCCTCCCTCGCTTCCTTTTCTTTGAGTTCCAGCACATCTGCCCGTCTCTTGCGGAAGTCCGCAAGGTTCACGAGGCCGACGGTCTGGGATTTGAGTAAATCCTCTGCGGTGGCCGATTGCGACGTGAAGCGGGGCGTCGAGGTCCCGGAGGGTGGATTGGAGCCCATGTCGGTGGCCGTATGAGTGCACACACGAAGAGGAAAAAGAAGCCTTGTCAAAATGTAGCAGGAACAGGAAGAACAGATGTCGCAGTATGCTTGATGCAAGTGAACGAGAATCGCAACTTGAGTTGTCGCCGTGGTTTCTGGCAAGGAGCAGCCAATGAGAGTCCCGTCCCGACCTGTAGATCCATATTGAACAGGCTCTCAATTGATTACTTGTAAAAGGTCTTCATCGGGGTCAGAACGCAGTACCCGTCCTCCTATCACGATCAACAACAAAAGCGTTTCATCTGGTACTTTTAGCCTATTGTACAGTGTTCCCGTATGGACATTCCAATCATTCCATCATAGCCGTGGTAACCGTTCGCGTGTGCCCTAGTTACCTATCCCAATCGTCTCATGTCCAACTGTTTGGCCCGGTTCAAACAACAATGTACTCGCCCTCATTATTTTCCAACTTCATAACCCGGGCAAATCGAAACCCAGTTTCTTCATTGTCATGATAATTCGACTCATTCGCCATCCTACCACGAGGACTTGTCCGCTCCTTGTCATCATATTTGCGCCACACTTTCTCTAAAAGCTCCAAACAGCTCTTGTTGTTGAGGAAGCCGCTGTCTTTCTGGATATCGAGACATCGCTGGCGTATCACTTCGCGATCGTCATCATCCACACATTCACTGCCCGTGATGAAGAGAGGCCAGAGAAGGTACACATCGGATTTGACGGCGTTGATGTACTTGAGACACTCTTGCACCCAGTTCCTGATACAAGGATCCGTGCTGGGCACGCTGGGGTTCGCCAACCGCTCCGTGTACAAGAGTGCGGCATACCTGAATGACTCGGATATGTTGTTGAGATCGACGCGTTGTTCGTACGAGAGGTAGGGCGCTTCCGGGCTTGAAGAATCAAACACGGTGGTGTTGAGGTTCCAGGTCATCAAGGCTTGGCGGATCTCCCTCCATTCTCGCCAAAAGTGCGCCTTCATGTCAGGGGCTGCCGATCTGGTCGTGAACAGGTCCTCGTCCTCAATCAAGCGCATCCACCCGTTTCCATCAAACTTGCTGTAGTCGATGTTCGGTGCTAAAGACACTTGAGGAGGTGGTGGCCGGGAAACAATGGTGCTCGTCTCTTCGACCGACTTCCCCTGGCTCAGCACGTTCAGCCTGCCTAGTTTGGCAATCGTCTTAAACAGTTGGCCATCGCATCCAGCGAGATTCTCCAACGCCCATTCCTCGTCGGAAAGCGCGGACACATCAAGATGATAGCCCTGAAGTTGCCCCTCGCGATCGTTAACCGTTGCAGTCATTGCGTCGAACCAAGTAAACATCCTCGTAAACCACTTTGCTTCCTTGGTGTTGAAGGCTGGGTCGTCTTTGCGGAGAGAAAGCAGCTTCTTCACCCCAGCGAACTGGGTTTGAAATTTGGCCACGCCCGAGTCACAGATATGGAACAGGCACAGTATCAGCAGCGTTGCCAGCGTCGAGTCGTCCTTGCGCAGAACGGGATTGGCAAGTTGCTTGTTCAGCGACTGGATTGCCACAGTTTTATGCAACGACTCCTCTCGTGCTTGCTCTTGCGGACTCAACAAGCCAGCCTCATGCCATGGCTCGTGCGTCAGAGTCAGATGTGCTATAGACGATCGCCTTGCAGGATCAGTCTTACATGTAGACAGCCCGGTTTCCCGCCGTTGCCGCAGGTTACTGGCAGCAAGTGCCGCTATGGCATGCTGGAGCGTTTCACTTTTCGTGGCCAGTCTCAGGATTTGTGTTCGATAAGGATTCGAAGGACCGTCGAAGGCGACAATGACAGGAGAGATAACCTCGGCGTAGTAGTTTATCAGAAATCGCATTCGAGGAGTTGCCCCTATCGACCCCGTGGATGCAAAAGGCGTCAGCGATAGATTGTAGCCATTGAGCGACAATTGTGGAAAGCCAATGACAGAGTCATCTTCGACGATGGCACATTCGTCCTCGTAGGAATTCCGCGGAACCTCTTCCACCTCTTCATCGGCGTACTGCGAGACCTCGTGGCGCGCTGCTGGTTCCACTTGCTGCGGGGTACGCGGATGAGCATAAGCCTCGTTGCGAACGTACGACTCGTCCTGCCTGTGATACGGGGGAAACTGACCGTGATCAGGAAAGACCAGATCAAAGGGCGAATGGATTTGAGGCGATACGGGATAAGCTGGTAGTGTAGCCGAGACGTTTGACGTGCTGTGGCTCAACACGCGCCCGAAGTATGCCGACTCCGGGCTGGGGGCAGTGTATGGCGTTGGTGTTAACCTGTCCGTCCCACCGAACACAGAATTGCGGTTTAATCCAGCGCTCAATGGAGGCCCGTGCTGGGGAGACGTAATGCTCGCAGATGAAGGGGTGGGATAGGTAGATTCCCGCGGCTCTAACTGTGCGGTGGCAGCTGTGGTCGGCGCGACCCATGCCGTGTTTGTTGGATAAGGACTCGTAACTAACGGCGGAGGACGTGGTTGCTCGTACTGGAAGGCATGGTTGCTGCCAGTGGCAGAAGCTGGAGATACAAGAGGGGCGGGAGCGGTCCGCGCTTCAGAGGGCGCTATGGGAGATTGGAGCTGCGGTAGATGAGCTGGCGGTTGTTGCTGCGACGGTCTTCTCTTGGTCGCGGAAGAGAAAGTCGGCGGAGGGAGTTTCTGAGTGCCTGCAATCGGCAGCGACAACCCCCGAAGCTTGCCTCGACTTGCCACGCCGTTGCCCCAGGTCAACTGCGTCTTGTAGCCTGCACAGTCTTTTCCATCGTCCAAGCACTGGGTGCAGTATGGTCTTCGTCGATCGCACTTGACCGAGCGACTGGCGCAGGTAAAGCAGTCAGCCGCTGCTCCAGCAGCAGGTGCGCGCTTCCTCCTCTTGCGCGGAGGATTCCCAACGTCTGCGTTTGGCGGCGAAGTAGCAGATCCCCGTTGAGCCTCAACCTGCGGCGCTGACATGCTTATAGGAGCCGCCTCGAACACGAGGTAGAAGCTGACAGTCCAGGCAGCCCAGACGTCATCTGTGGACTTTGGAAGAGGTCAATTTAATCTGATTCGAACGGTGGCGAATCCCATGAGATCTGCATGCCGGGTAATATATCAAGACGAGGAACGTAAGATGAGAGGGTGAAGTTCGAGTGTCGTAGTCTCCGGACGTGAATTCGACGTGGATCAACCGCGCAACCAGCACGAGGGTAGATGCTTACTGAGGAGAGCAGTTGAGATGCAGGAGGGAAGGAAGCTAAGAGCAGTCCGCTTCGATGAAACGGTACGAGTAGCGGTCACCAGCAGTTGAATGTGTGTGTCCCCCAAGAAACGATCTACACCGAAGAGAAGGAGGACGCCGTCATGACCGAAGGCTTCCACCTCGAAGATGCGCAACAAATGGACTTGGGCACATCGAGAGCCTGGAGACACCCGTTGAAGCGTGCGGGAGGGGCGACAGGAAGCCAATGAACGCTGCTGAAGGACAATCCGCGATAGCGACTTTAGCCAGTCGGCAGTCGTTAAATCCTGGGGGCGCGAGGGGGATGGGCTCGGGAGATGCATTTCGGGGCATATCACTGCCACTCACGCCACTGAGGATGGAGGGTGCGCTGCATGCGTTTGCTTTAATTGGATCAACGGCGGGCCTGCATGAATGACTTCCGCCGGAGAGATACTTCCGCTTGTGCACTCTTGCGCTTGCTTAGCTTTGTCCTTACCTCAAAATCCGGGCACAATGAACGTGACGGAACGCTGGACCGACGCCCATGTTGTGCCGCGGCGACGGCAAGACTTTAAGCAAGGCGGCGTGCGAGCAGGAGCAGAGACAGAGGCAGAAGCAGAAGCACCCCACCTTCAAGTGGGAGCAAAAGTCGCCTTTCGGGTGTGACCCTCTTATCTCGCAGGAAGTACGGAGTACTGGGCACTCCGTGGACAGGCTGGGCGCGCACACCCCAGAGAGGTGCTGGCCACTTAGGTTCGATCTTGGGACGGGAACAGGAGCACACAATTGGTGGAAATCGTCCTAGCCAGGTCGTGGCCGTGAACGCGTGCTCCGTACTGGGTACTTGTGCCTGCACTGCTTTCTCACACAAGGCTATGGGAGTGCAATCGGGGGCTATCAGCCTGCGATCCGTCTCGGCGAGTATTTGCAAACCTGAGTGCTCACAACATTCACGATCACCCTGCTCAGGCTTGCGTTATCAAGGACCCAATTGACGAGCCCCAGGACTCTTGCTCAAGCCTCGTATCCAAACGGTGGAGTTCGCGCCGGTTGATCCAACCGGACGGCTCGTGAAGATATTGCAGCTTGTACGAGGAGGGTCCCGGCTAATATATGGTGGCGCTGAGGGCATAACGCTGGGTAGCATCTCCACATGTGTCGCTCCAAGACAACAGCGACATCACTTGACACAATAACATCACGGTGAACAATGGCAATAAGAGACAAGATAACTCTTTCAATTTCGACCATCAACACGCGGCAGTCGGGCTATCTAATTTTCAAGGTGCCGTCAACGCCAACCTTCCTGCGACTTGGCAGCCAAAGAGTTTCAATTCCAATTTCGAAACATGGCGTTGTGCTCTCTTTGGTGCCGGTTATGGATGGCCCTGAGCCCCCGGGCAGGGTTTCCAGCCTTGAGCACCTAGCTCACAGCCTCCTCGTCCTTCGGTGGCCCATGCGTTCACCGGTGGTGTCAGGCTGTCAGCGCCGGTGCCAAACGAGGCGGCGGGGAAGAAATTACCACCCTTCCATACAGGGGTCTAGTTGAGCGATCGCAATTTGCAATCCAATTGTTCGCAGGGGTCCGGGCGCCAGCCCAAGCCTCGTTGATCTAGCCTTGCGCTTGCACAAGAGGTGACAATGTTTTGTTTTCCCAATTCTGACCTTTGTGATCATACCCATCCGTGTAAGTTCTTTACGGGGTGGATTCGTAACGACATTTGCAAGGTGTGACTCACCACTATACTCGGTCGAAGAGGCGCCTGTCTTGAGCGTCAGCCATTATCACTCACCACC